GGACGCCCGGCCGGGCAGCTTCCTTCTCTGTTGCCTGCCTGGGAGTGGCGTCCACGCCCGCTCCGCCATGACCCTGGCAGTATCTGACCTCGGAAAAGTTTGTGTCTTTATGGCATTTCCACCCCGAGACCCAGCTCCCCCGGAGGTGGCTGCCTCCCCAGGGGTGCGGGGCCTCCCGGGGCCTCGAGGAGTCGGTGTTTCATGGCTCACCGGGCAGAAGGGCCCTCACAGGGCTCCTGGGGAAGCTCCTCCCGTCTGCTTACTCACCAGAGGCCCCTCGCCCGGAAACACCAGCAGGGCCCTGGGCTGCCCTGCCCGCCTGCCCACCCGATGCCATTTGCAATGGAGGGACCGCCCTGAATGTGCTGGCAGCGGGCCCTGCTTTTATTAGCTCTCCACCCCCACCCACCCAGATACCCCGAGAATCCTCCCACCTGCAGGCGGCCCCAGGTCCTGGGAGGCTGCTGGGCGGCTTTCATTGGAGAGGAGCCAGGCTTGGGCAGCCACAAGGCTCGGACAGTAGGGACAAGTCCTACCAGCTGACCTTGGGGCCTGGAAGTGGTTAATCAGGTTCCCTGAGGCCTGCAGCTCCTGCCAGAGTTAGCCCCTACCCCCGACCCGCAGGCCTTTCGGAGTCCCCATTGGTTTCCTCGGGGCCATTCCCACCCGAACTTCCCTGCTGCCGGTAGGTGGACTGCTGCTTACGTAGACCTTTGGGCCCAGCTGGTTCTCCGGCTGGCCAGGTGTCCCCTTAGAGACCAGAGTTAGAGACCATATGTGGCCAACTCGGACCTGGGGGATTCGCACCCTAATGCTGCTCTCCGGGGGCTGGCACCCCCGGCAGCCCTGCTTTGGAGAGATGATGATGTTGGGTTCTTTGTCTTTGGCGGTCTGCTCGTTCCTTCTCCGCTAAATGCTGTGGAGTCTTCTTCTTATAGCCTCTCAGAATACGCATTTGTCGTTCTAGGAGAATGTGTTTACCGGGCAGTCCAAGATCTACACCTACATGAGCCCGAACAAATGCTCTGGAATGCGTTCCCCCCTTCAGGAAGAGAACTCAGTTGCACATCACGAAGTCAAATGCCAGGGGAAGCCATTAGCCGGAATCTACAGGAAACGGGAAGGTAAGCCTGGGAAACAGCCCTGCTCTGACCACAGCGGCCTGGGCCACAGAAGCCTCTCTCCTCCGTAATTATGCATCTATATTAGGTTTTTATCCAGCCTTTTCATACCCAAGTGGGAAAGGAGCCACATTCTGTCTTGCTGCTAAGAAACGCAGACACGGGGGAACCGGCGGCCCATCCCAGGGCGTGTGCCCTGTCGGCCTAACAGGTTCTACTGCTTTCACAAGAGTTGGCGTGTCCTTCGGGCTTGATTGTCTTGCTGGATTGCAAAAATAATGCCCCTGATTTGCAAGGAAAGAGGCTCACAGGTGCCAAATGTGCAGAAATTATGAATCTGGCTTGTTCAGAGCAGCCGCTTGCAGGCCTGGCTGTTGTGTGAGCACCAGGCCTTGACTTCCTTCCCTTTCATGAGCTGGCCTTGACCTCATTTCTAAAGTTTCTTTCCACTCAAGTGTTCAGAGCTCCTCTCTCACGCAGCATAGTCTGCAGTGAGTTTAAATACTGAACGAGAAAAGTATACGGTTAGTGAAAATTCTGTCTGGACCCGCAAAACAAGCTGAAATCTTGCTCTAATCCAAATAGCCGCTTTCCACGGGGCATTGGGGCGTGTGAGAATGTCCGTTCACCATGCTCCCTTCTAGTCACAGTTGCCTTAAAACAGCAGAACTCTGACCACCAGCAGCTCCATGTTAACAGAAAGTACCACAAGTGATGGGTGAGCCCAGCCTCTGGTGCCAGAGCTGAGAACCAGGGGCAGGAGCCAGCCCGTATATATTTTTTTTTTAAAATATATTTTTGTTGATTTCAGAGAAGAAGGGAGAGGGAAAGAGAGAAACATCAATGATGAGAAAGAACCATTGACCGGCTGCCTCCCGCACGCCCCCCACTGGGGGTCGGACCCACAACTAGGGCATGTGACCCTTGACTGGAATCGAACCTGGTACCTTTTAGTCCACAGGCCGACGCTCTATCCACTGAGCCAAGCCAGCTAGGGCGCCAGCCCGGTCTTGATCCATCCCAGTGCACAGGGCCCTGCTATTTCGTTGCTCTTCAAATGACCTGGGTTCTAACCCTCACCTGCCACTTATATGGAGGAGGCTTGGGCAGATGGCTCCTCTTTTCTGAGCCTCGGTTCTCCCATCTGTAAAGTGGGAGAGTGGCTACTCTGAAGATCAGTTAAAGCATGGACGCCAAAGGGCCTTGTGAAATGCTCCCTCCGACAGCCCTTCCTCTGCTGGACCTCAGTGTCCCAGCCTGCTCCTCCCTGGATAGCCAGCACCTAGGGTAGCAGCAGCCACACAGGGGTGGGCGGAGGGGCTCTGTCCACATGCGGTCAGCCTGTCTCATGTCCCTTCTGGAATGGGGCACGAGTAAATGGTTCTCAGTGGCAACACGCACACAAGCAAGCTTGTTTGGCTCACAGTTTCACTAAATGGCAACGAACAGAATTTGGGGCCAGATAGACTTAGCAGGAGACCCCCAAGGCCAGGCTCTTATTCTTGATTTTCAGCCTTTTTTCTGCCTTGATGTGACAGCTGGCGTTGGTGGGCTCCCCGCACTCCTGGCCTCATCTCCCTCTGGTTCCACTCAGAAAGGCCGATAAGGGAGCGAGCGCGGCCTGGAGGGGTTTCGATGTGTATATTTTTTCATCACCCCCAAAGAAACCCAGTGTTAGTAGTCACACCCCATTCCTCCCTCCTCTAGCCCCAGGCAACTGCCAGTCGACTTCCTGTCTCTGTGGATTTGCTTGTTCTGGACATTGCCTGTAAATGGACTCATATAATACGTAGCCTTTTGTGCCTGGCCTCTCTGCCTCAGCATTTTTAAGATGCATCCACGTTGTCGAGTGGATCAGTACTTTATTCTTTTATGTGACTAAATAATATTCCCTCATGTGGCTCGACCACATTTTATTTACCATCCACCAGTTGATGGAAGTGTGGGTTGTTTCCATTGTTGGCTATTATGAATAAGCTGCCATAAACATTCATATACAGGTTTTTATGTAGAAACGTTTTTAATTCTCTTCATAGATGCCTAGGAGTGGAATTGCTGGGTCGGATGGTAACGCTACATTTAAATTTTTAAAGAACTGCCATGCTCTTATGCACCATTTTACATTCCTACCACCCATGTATTATTTACTTTAAAAAAAGTTATTTATTTTATTGTTGAGAGTATTACAGATGTCCCCCTTTATTTTTTAAATATTTTCACTTATTTATTTACTTTTAAATATTTTTATTGATTTCAGAGAGGAAGGGAGAGGGAGTGAGAGATAGAAACATCAATGATGAGAGAATCATTGATCAGCTGCCTCCTGCATGCCCCACACTGGGGATCGAGCCCACAACCCAGGCATGTGCCCGACTGGAATCTAACTGTGACTTCCTGGTTCATACGTTGATGCTCAACCACTGAGCCATGCTGGCTGGTATAACTTACTAATTTTAGAGAGAGGAGGTAGGAGTGGAATTGCTGGGTCGGATGGTAACGCTACATTTAAATTTTTAAAGAACTGCCATGCTCTTATGCACCATTTTACATTCCTACCACCCATGTATTATTTACTTTAAAAAAAGTTATTTATTTTATTATTGTTGAGATTACAGATGTCCCCCTTTATTTTTTAAATATTTTCACTTATTTATTTACTTTTAAATATTTTTATTGATTTCAGAGAGGAAGGGAGAGGGAGTGAGAGATAGAAACATCAATGATGAGAGAATCATTGATCAGCTGCCTCCTGCATGCCCCACACTGGGGATCGAGCCCACAACCCAGGCATGTGCCCGACTGGAATCTAACTGTGACTTCCTGGTTCATACGTTGATGCTCAACCACTGAGCCATGCTGGCTGGTATAACTTACTAATTTTAGAGAGAGGAGGGGAGAGAGAGAGAGAGAAATATCTACTTGTTCTTCCACTTATTTATGCATTCATTGGTTGATTCTTGTGTGTGTTCTGATTGGCAATCAAACCTGCACCCTTTACATATCAGGACGACACTCTAACCAACTGAGCTACCCAGCCAGGGCAGTCAGTTATAGCTCAATAAAGCTGAGAAAAGCGCAGAAGACCAAAAGCTCTGCCCAGTGTTTCTGTCAAACAGTAAAGCCATTCGTGGACACCGGGCTTAACAGGCAAGGGCACACACCCATGACCCCCGCTTTCTCACAGCCTGTCTTAGAATGCAGCTGAAAGTCTAACGGGGCGTCTAGAATAAATCTCTCTCTCTCTACCCTCTGCCTGCAGAGAAAAGAAACACTGGGAACGCAATACGAAGCACCATGAAGTCTGAGGAACTAAAGATCAAAGACGCCAGGAGAGGTCCCCTGGCACCTTTTCCAAACCAAAAACCCGAAGTAGCAGAACCTCCAAAAACTCCGACCTCGTCTTGTGATTCCTCCGGTGCAGCCATCGCCAAGCAAGCCCTGAAGAAGCCCGTCAAGGGCAAGCAGGCGCCTCGGAAAAAGTAAGCACCTCCCAGAGCGACTCCCAGCCCCGCCCTGCGGGCAGTTTGGTTTCTCTGGCCTCGGGGAGCTGGTTACGGGTAAGCAGGCCTCCCTCCCAGCTTCACTCACACTGAGGCTCACATCAGCCTCTCCCACGCTGAGGCCACACCCCTTGAGTCACCCCCCAGGGACCCCATCCTTGGCCAGCATCTCGGTCTGCCATGTGTCCAGAGCTCAGGGGCCCTCCCCTCCC